TGCTATTTTAGTGGTTGTAATTTGGGCTCACATTATGCTGAAGGTCTCGGCTCTGAAAAAGTAGTGATAGGCCTCCAAATCATATTACAAAATGTTTTTAAATACCACTACTTTTTCCAAGTCCACACTTTTAGCATGAAGTGAGAAGCCTTAGTTGTAATACAAATATAATGTGATATAAACTAAATACAAGTTTTCTTACTATTCATCGACACTTGTAATCAATTTCTTATAACTTTCTAATAATATATGAATTTAATATTTTATGAATAATCTTTTAAACAATATACAAAACCAAAACTTGATTATTAAAATAGTATTATATGGCATTCAATTCTGTTATTAGTTCATTGTTGACACTATAACGGCATCATTTATTTTAGAATGTGGAACATACAATTTCAAATTGGGACCAGAATAGACTATTTTACAATACAATATTCTGGTCCCAATTTGAAATTGTATTTAAAATACATGTATTGATATGTATTCTGAATACACATTTAATTTTATTGTCCTATCTTATACATTTCCATAAATATTATGCAAAATGGAGCCATACAATCGCCAGTTAAAATACTTAAAATTTTCTGACCAAAAACGTGATTGGCGTAAGTGAGCAAGTGTGAATAATTTTTTCGTGAATGTAAGTGAAAATTTTCTAAATTTGCACCACTAATACGGATTACTAAAATTTTTAAAAAATTAAGTGCGAATTGAAAGGTTCTGGTTATTAATACTCCAACTCTCTAAATAGTGTTTGTTTGGCATTAATATCTTACGTTATAAGAATTAATATATCACCTGCTAATAATTACAAGGAAACTTTTACTAGCTTTAAAATGCAAATGATACGAATAAAAACCACTTTAATACGTATTTTACATTAATAGTTATTATAAATAAAAATTATAAATAATTGCAATTAAAATATTGTTATTTTAAAACTCATAGAAATAGAAATTTGTGTGAAAATATATTTTTATAAGTTTTGCATTGAATTGATTAAAACAATTAAAAATACAAAACATGTGTTTAATTGTAAACAATTAATAATAAATATAAGAGAATAATGTATTGATTGATAGCATTAGCGGACAATCACTACAACTAAACGACTATTAATTCTTTGCATTTCATCTCTAATTCAACACTAATTCCAGAATTGAGTGAAGAATTGAGTGAAAGGAAGCGATGGATGTGTTGAATGCCATCTGTTATTCATTTCACACTTACTTTACATTTATTTACATTCATATCATTATATGATTGCCTGAACTCAAGACATACCACTTGAAGACCAAGTGATGGATAAATTGCGTCGGGCTTTGAGTGGAGACGAGTCGGTCGGCAGCGGAGGTGATGATCCAACAATTGGCCGCCATATCTGTACAAGTTTTTAGGAGTGGATAAGTCGGCGCTTAAATCTCCCACAAAGTCACCCATTCATAGACGAAAGAAAACATAATATTTGTTATATAAAAAGCATAAATTGGTTTTATTTAATGACCCAAAGATGTGATCTTTTATTTATTTTAGTACTAATACAATAACATAGAGTTTTTTGTTGCTTAATGTTTATATTTTTATTATTTACTAGTCGTGTGACAAATCAAAAACAAGTCATTTCTATCACAAATTGTTTTGTAGAATATATTGATTGTTAAAAATGTATGTTTTTTGGGACCAAAGTTTGATTTTAAATAAAGTTATAAATTTTTAGATTTTAAATGAGTGTTCTTTTGATTGATTGATTGATTGATTGATTGATTGAACCCAAATTCAGTGAACTGGAGAGCACTTTGACTAGGGTGACCATAACGTCCTTTTTTATGGGTTTTGTCCTTTTTTCGACCTCTAAAAACAGAGTAAAGAAGGACGCGTCCTTTTTTTGAATTTTAGTAATTTCAATATAAAAGGTTAATATGTTTTAAAATATGGGAAATATCATTCATTGCTATGCACTGTAGATCTGTAAAGCTGTAAAGTTTAGACATTACAGCACACAAAAAGTTGATAATAATAATAGAGTAGAAATATGATTTAAAATGTTGTAATTGTTAACAGAAAACTATTATAAAAATCAAATAATTTTGTTTATTAAAAGTTTTTTCATTTAAATATTCATTTAAAATGTGTGACAAAACAAAGGAAAATGTATAGGGTTAAAAAAAATTTGCGTCCTTTTGTGTCCTTTTTTTAATGACTATTTTATACCAGTCGTCCTTTTTTAAGAGGATTTTTGGTGGTCACCCTAACTTTGACCCGTCAGGCCGTCGACGTGTCAAATAAAACGCTGAGTCGACATAACTGTAAAACTATATAATTAAAAATTGTTTATTTCAAATAATTTTCGAGTTAATTAAAGTTTAACATTTAAAAGTCGAATTGTTTAAAAATGACATACATTTTTGAATATAATTGGATATTATTAAGTAACTAAAATTTTCGACATGAATGTTTTAAAAATAAGTCAACAATTATTTGAGATAGAATATTATTTGTGATAGAATATTCTCAATATTCCTCAGGTTGTCTTAAGTTTTAAAAAAGTGGCCAGATTTTAATTTAATTTTTATCATGATGAAAGCATATAAAACAAAGATAAAATATATAAAAATTATTATCCTAGGTCAAATTTTTTAAGGTTTCAAAATTTATTTAAATTTTTTTTCTATCCCTCAAATGTGTTCTACATATGTTCTACTATCCATTTTTATGAAAATTAATTTATTGTCAAAAACTCGGTATTACCATAAAAATCTCAAGAGTTTCTCTTCAGATTCTGTTGTAGAGTTAGTAAAGCTTAAAAAAACCCTAATAGTTTTTTAGTTTAATATTGAGATTCCGTTGTTAAGATACTCTAATTACTGTTTGAAACTTTTAATAGTTGTTTGTCATTCATTATTCATTAGTCATAGTAGTATTTAATTGTATTTTTAATTGTTATTCAAACACTTGTTCAGGCTGTGAAAGAATTTTTTAATTATCTCAAATGTTTTCGAGATAATCACATCTTTAGTTTGTGGATGAAATATGATCTTGTTCAAAAATGTTTAGAATTTAGAAATTAATTTTTCCACATTTTGTTATTGAATGACTAACAGGATGTTTCGAAAACATCCTTGGTTGAATTCTTTTATATCGAACTCAAGTTAAGACAACCTCAGCATTTAATTTGACATAAGAATATTGTGTTAACGGCCGGACGGGCAAAAAGTGCTCTACAGAATATTTATGCACAAATAATTATTAGCTCTAACTGTAATCTATTAAAATATACTGCTTTTAAATAACACAATCCTTACAAATATTTCAAAGAGATTTAATAATTACAAAAAATAATTCTTCGAATAACTAATAATTTAACAAATAAAAATACATACATGTAACATATTATTTTTTATATCCTGTGGGTTACAATTAAAAACAAAACATTTGATTTGAATTTGTGGTAATTGTGTTCTAAAAGCGTAACAACGAGAACAAATTAAATGATGCTTTTATTAATTAAATTATGCAAAAATAATGCAAACAACAAATATATTCTCGTTTTCATCAATTCAATCATTCATTCATTTCAAACAATTGCTCGTTTTGGATATTAAACTTAATTATATTGTAATTAATATTAGTTATAAAAATATGGCACTTTTAAAGGTCCGCAATTAAACACGAATAATAAGTTCCCATAAAATAAACTCCGGTTTAATTTCAAATACAGAATTCATGGCAACAGAAAGTTTAATAAACGATAGTATAAAAGTCACAAGAATTGATTCAATACAAGTCAATCAGAATTTTTACCATTTTTTAAGTTCTAACAAATATCAGAAAAACAGTGAAAATGAAATCAATATCAGTTATACTGATTGTATTTACTGTATTCATAATGAATGAAATTAATGTATTCGGTCAGCAAGTTATGCCCATTAATGTGCCGATTGGGCCCAATGTGGCCACAACTGGCATAACTCCCACAACTGTACAACCGGTCACTCTTCCAGTCAATCCAATTGGTATTTATATTTTATTAAATGATTTGAAATTTAATTAAATGTCCAATTATTTAGGTTTCTTTCAAAACTTGTGCAGATTTGTGAACAAACTGCCGAAGACATCACTCCGAGAATCATTACAATTGCTTGTATGCACTCAGAGGTGCCGTCAATTCGGGGCAACCGATGGTAAATGCAATGCAAACGATGAGTGCATTTGTTATTAACTGCTTTTATATAAATTATTTGATTATAATTATATGACTTTATTTGAAATTTTATCATTTTCACTTTATTTGTATTGCAATTAATTCTTATATTTTTAGTTAATTTTTTTAATTTTTAAATCTTTAATTTTTTAAAATCTATTTATAAAAATCTTATATTTTCAATAAATTGCATAAAAAGTATTAATCGATGTTTATTTCATTTGATTGTTGTAATCTACAATCGGCATTGAATGTTCCCAAGTATACTCATTGGCAATGAGTCATTGCATTGAGTTTACATAGAGTTTTAGTTGAAATTATGAGCAATTGCCGGTTACTGGTTGTAACCAAATTATTGTAATTAAATTACAGATATTGTAATCACATATCAATTATCAAATTAATGTTTACAGTTAGTCTAACTCATAAGATAACACATATCTAAACATTTTGCGTAATTTAGTTATTATGAAATCTTAAACTAATATTTTAATAATAAGTGAATGATTAGTAATTAATCATTGATTACTTAAATTATAGGAAAGTGTTTAAAGAATAAAATAACTATTGTTTTAATGAAAATTGAATTTTCATAAGCGTTTGATTTTATTGATTATCATAAATATATAAATTATAATAGTTTTGTTATATTTGTTATAAGAAAATAAATAAACATTTGGAAAAACTGGTCGTTTTAAGTACAAGTATAGACATTTGTAAAACCGGACATTACTTTAGGAAAAGGTTGTGATTATAAAATAGTTATTAAAATATTCATTTCACTGACAATTTGAGAATTTAGGAAATTCACTGCAAATACAATACATATAACAATATAGTAATAAAATCAACTAATTATGAATTAATACAAATTAGTCATTACTGTTGTGAGATTTCTTACCACACATTTCATTAAATATTTAGTGTAGAGTTTGAAACAGTTTTAATAGAATATTCAATTGTGTCACAAAATAAGGCACAAAAGGATTTTATGTTTATTATAATAATTGTGTTAAAAAGCCGTATATTTTAACATTAAATGAGATTCAGACACAAGACGTAATGGTTTTGCGGACCATATCTCTCGCGTATGGGATGTATGAAAGGGAATACCTATAAACATATGGTAAAAATATATGTATTTAATGGCAAATATACGATATAAGAGATGAATGCATACCACGTGAAGGCCAGGAACTGAAGAATACAGAAGATAACGGCCAGAAGGGCTCTCTTCCACCAAAGGGCCGATAAAAGGGTTAAAATCATGAACAGAAAGACGCCGAGAGTGGCCAACACTCGCGTCTCGTTAAACATCTTCTTAATCTGACGGAAGGGTCCCATCAAAAACATGGTACTAAACATTACCACAATTATTAGTACATATTTCACAAGACATTACAATTATATCAATGAAAAGGTGTATTGAGTCGATTGATGGCATACCTGGCCATTGATGTCAGATTTCCTATCGTGTAAAACATGGCAAATAATATTAAGCCTTTCGGTAACGCTATTAAAGCGGATCCCAAGATAGAGAAGACAAAACCCAAGACAAAACAGATGGCAAAGCCTTGTATACGAGTGGACCAACTGAGTGATGTCGCCGATGAGATCTGCCAT